GAGCAGAAGGCCGGGCGCCATCGAGGCAGCGCGAGGAGCCCCTTTCTGCGCCCGGCGGCGGTCACAGCGGCCAGCGCCCGTGCTGCCTCGCCCAGCTGGTGGGCCTGCCCCCGCCTCGGCCCCGGGCACCCCGAGGAGGCAGCAGATTCGAAGGCACGGGCCCCAGCCCTGCGACGGGCAGAGCCTGAACGCGCCCCTCGTGGTGCGCGGCCTCCGGGACCTCGGTGAGAAAGGGCGGCGAGGGGCCGCCCGCCGCTCCCGCTGCTCCCGGCGATGGGGGCGCGGCACCAGCCGGCGCGCGGGCCCTCGGCACTCCAGGGGACTTCGGCCTTAGCTTCGCGTCAAGAGGGTATTTTTCCTAAACGAAACCGCTTCGTTCGTACGCTTGTTCGTTGGCACAGCAACGCCACAGAAAAGCCACAGCCGTGGCCCGGCCCGCAGCCCCGGCGCAGCGCCGAGGACCCTACGTCCCGCGCAGCGCTGGGCGCACCCCTGCCCCGCGGCCGCCTCCCTGGCGCGGGCCGGGCTCTTCCTTACCCTAAGAGAAACCCCAAATGCTCATCGCAAGCCCCAATAAAGACATCGTTGTTGGCGCGGGGCTCCCGACCGCACCGCGCTTCTCTAGACCCGGGTCTGGAGCTCTGGAACCGACCGGCCTCCTGAATCTGAGCGGATTCAGCGACGGGAAAGCAAGAGCACCGAGGTCGGCATCGCAGAAATCGCAAGCCCAGGCCGGAATCCTGGCTCCGAGGTTTTCCTGTTTAGAGATTCCCTTAATTCAAAAAGATTTAAATACACTTTCCTAAGAAACTTGGGCTGGTGTTCTCTTGGCACCCCAGTGGTCTGCCAGCCACCAGGGCCAGAGGAAAGCAACCCCAGGCTGCTGTCCACTTGGTGGAGGATAGGGTCTCCCAGTAATGGCTAAAGCTACCGGCAGCATCGTGGGCACAGCCAGCGGGGACTTGCTGGTCTCCTGCCTTTGCTTCGGACTGCTTTGGGATCCTGATCGCTACTGGGAAAGGGAAAAGAAGTGGACTGGGACATGGCGACCAGGCTGCCTGGACTCTAGGACATAAAGGGAGCATTTGCTGACCTTCGAGCCAGGCTCAGAGTGCCCTCCTCTCAGCAAATTGGCTGCTGGGGAGAGGAGACTGTGATACTGCAAAAGCCGACCCCAGTTGTGTGACCAGCCACTGCCACTTTCCTAGCCTTCTCTTCCGCTTGGCTCAGCCGTTCTTAGGAATCAGATAGTGAGCAGTGCACTGGGGTGAGCAGGGGGATCCATGGGCTCTTACCAGCTGCTGCCAGAGAGTTCTGAGTTCCATGGTCCCATCAGCCACCCCACCTAGCCATTCTGCCTGAATACACCCAGCTCTCCCCACCAGGGCAGGCTGGGGAGCCCGACTGACAAGACGCTTCAGGCTGTGGTCGGTCCTCTGAAGCCTAAAGAATCCAGTGAGATTGTTCCCATTGCCTACCTGAGTACCTCTTTTCCCCTCACCCAGTAATTACTTGCATTCAAAGAAATAAAAGCTTTTATTGGGGAGGGGGTCTTAGACCAGGCGGAAGGCAGTAGGTGGTCCCGGCTGCACTCCCCAAACTGGGTTTTCTAGTTTGAACTTCTCCACGGCCTAAGAGGCTTAGGGCTGGAATGTCCCAGAGAGTCATGGATGGCCCTGGGGGCAAGCCATGGCACATTCCTTCCCTTTTCCTAAAATCTCTTGATTCTTATTTGAAGATTAGGGCAGGGTACCCCCATAAGTAGGTGGAAGGATGCCCTCCATGAGGACGCTCCAACCACCCTTCCCAAGTAAAATTACTAAACCATTGTGGGGTGCACAGTCAGTTTCAGGTGAGCCCAGCCTCAGGCAGCGTCCTTAGAGAGACTACTTCAACCCCCACAGCAGCCCAGGCTGCTCTCTGCTCAGCCCAGCCAGGACTCTAAGCCCCTGAAAGTCTCAAAATCATTGCTAGCTCTGTGTGGCCTGGAGGGAGGAAGAATAGGGCACATGGTTCCTACTCCACTAAGCCCCCTTCCTTTTCTCATGTCCCATTGTCAAGTGGGCTGAAGGCTGAAGCAGCAGCAGGCGTTGCTGTGTCCCACGTCAGGTACAGTGCAGGTCAGACCTTGTCCAAGGTACACAGCAAAGCCGGGGACAGACTACTACACTTCCTCCTGAAAGAGAGCTGCCTGCTGTCCTGTGTCCGCCTGTGAGATACTGTGGGAGTGCAAGAAGCCCCTGCCCTGCCTGGGATAGTGGCCAGTAGAGGGTGTGGCTGGAGAAAAAGAGAGCGAGCGCCCAGGTCCCTTCTCCAGTCAACACCCAGGATCCGGCCAGGGGCCCCTCCTTATTCAGCGCTGCCTGGGTCCAGCGGAATAGATTCTCCAGGGCAGCCCCCAATAGTCTCAGCCCCTCTCTGGGGCTCAGAGCCCTGAAGATATGAACATCACCCACAATAGTCTAAGGGCCTTTCCATCCACAAAGCAGGCATTAATATTCCTAAATATAGGGAGTATTGTGACTGCCCAGAGCTCTGCCAGAGGCTTGGGTCCAGAGGGGCACCATAACTACAGGTGAACAATAGCTACATTAAATCCATCAGAGTCAATAGTTAAAGCTGCAGAGTCACAACACAGTTCCTATCCATGGAAGGCCTGACTCTTCAGATCCTCTGGGAAGTGGGAGGGCTGTGACCCTCAGCCCTGGATAACTATTGGCAGACCATCCATTCCATGTTCCCACCCAGATAGGCACTGTGCTTCACACCTTGGCCTGACACTGGGCATGCTTAGAACACACCTCCTTTCCCCTACCAGTCAGATTTTGTGCCAAACATCAGCAGCGTTCTGGGAATCAGAGGCCTGGCTGTGTGTACACATATGTGACTGTACTCAGCACTCCTGTGTGTGGATGCAGGGAGTATGTGTGTCTGTGTGTGCACAGCACACCTGTGTTGGCATGCAGTACGTATGTGTGCATGCATGCTCCCATGCCCTGTCTGTACCCAGGCACACAGGGTGGCACGTTGTCCTGTCAGGGTAAAAGCAACTGCAAGGTGGTAGGTGAAGGGGCACTCCTGGCAGGCTACAGCATCTGGATACCTCCTTGAACGGAGATTCAGCCAAGAACTGTGATAAAAGATGGGGCTGATGGCAAATGCTGAGCAACCATACCTCACCATGTCTCCCTCCTAGGCCCCCCCCCCCGCCCCCGACACACACACACACACACACACACACACACACACACACACCAAGACTGTTTTCATCCTGGGAGTCTCAACTTAGAGAAACATCCCTTTGGAAGAAAAGGGCGGGGATATCTGAGACTCCCCAACCCCACTCCTGGATGCATCTGGCTTCAGCCTCAGGCCCTGCCCCCTATGTTGAGGGGCACCCAGTGAGAGTGGGACAGGCCCTAAAGAACTGTGCCTTTTCCCCCGGGCCCAGAGCTGTGGGCCTTGGGGTGAGGCTGAGGGAGTGAGAGGCAGGCCTGGTTCCACACTACACCTGCCCCTGCAATCCTCACCAAGGAGCTCAGCTTGGGGCAACTCTGATGGGGAGCCAGAGTGAGGGCTCAAGGCAGTGCCTGCAGAGCATCCCAGACACAGACAACCTCCACGTTCAGTCCCAAGCAGAGGAGGAGGAGAGGATGCACTAGGCCCTGGGGGAAGCATTGGGCCTAGAAAGTAGGGCAGTGTTTCTCCCCCAGGCCACTGTCCAGACCAGCACTGCTCCTCGGCAGGTAAGGAGCAGAGGGCAGTCTGGGGTCCAGCTTCCTCCAGAAAAACAGGTCAGGGCCCCACCCTATCCCCCCAGCTGTCACCTATTTACTCAAGACTCTGAGGTCTCCAGACCAGTTAACAATTGTTGAGCAAAATCCTTCAACAAACTTCACTGAGGTAGGAGGACTCAAGGAGGGGGTCGTTCCTAGGGGTGGGGAGGGGAATGTCGTTGCCTGTGCCCAGGAGAGAAGCTCCACTGCAGGCTTCCTGGGCTGCAGGCCCAGCGTTGGGAAACTGCCGTCACCTGGCCTGCCAGGCGGGTGCCTGCAGCTCTGGGAATCCCAAGGGGAGGCCCCAGGCGGCTACAAACCTGCCCTGAAGGGGGCACAGGCCCACCCTGTGGCTGCCAAGGCCCTCCCCGCCAAGTGGATTTGGTCAGATGGTTAAAGGTGCAAAACAGGGGGAGAGAGCCCTATAGAAGAGGTCGTGGGCCCCAGCGGGGCTCTTGGGGTCTCCTGCTGCACTCGCCAGCGGACTGAAGCCAACAGAAACGTTTCATCTGATTAGGAGCCATCAGTTCTATCCCAATCCCGGAAAATTGACTGCGGTGCAGAGGCGGGGGCCTAAGAAGCAGCCTTGGGGGAGAGGGTCCAAGCTAATTAGGAGGCGGCATCCGGGGGCCCATTAGAGCACAGGCTGCTGTCACTCAGTCGGGCGCAGGTCCCGGGAGAAGAGGCCGAGGAAGGAGGGGCGGGCGGCCCCTCGACGAGGACGCTGCTGGGAGCTGACGGACGGCCCTGGGCTCTGCCCCTGCCCTGGCTGGCTCGGAGGCGCCCGCTCGGTGCGCTCCTGCTCGGTGAACATTCACTCATCCCGAGCTGTTCTCGCCCAGGGGCTGGGGACCTCTGGGCCCAGACAGCAGTTGATTCTGAGCGAAACAAGTCACTTGGGGATCGAAGTGGGCACAAGCCGCGCCGGACTTGCAGGCCAGACGCGTTTCTTTTGTGCGGCCCAGGGAGAACTCGGTGTGTCACCGGGGAAGGAGGGAGAGGCCCGGTGAGGCCGCGGGGGGTGGGGGGAGGGGCGGGAGGCGGCGGGAAGGTGCCTGGGAGGAGGAGGGCGCGGGCGAGGCCGGGAGGGAGGGCGGCAGAGAGGGCGCGCCGGCAGCGCGGGCGGCTCGGGGCTGGATTCCGCCCGCGCTCCCTGGCTCCCTCGCTCGCTCGCTCCCTCCTCCCCAGCCCCCTCCCACCCGGGCCCACCCCACCCACCACCCCTGGCGCAGGGACTGCTGGAACCTGGAGGTGCGCACTGTCGCTTTAAGACAGATTCTGCCGGCGCCGTCCGGAGCCTTAGAAACCGGCCCGGGATCGGGAGCCCTAGCCGGGGCCGGGCGGGCGGCTGAGGCCCGAGCGGCGGGAGCGGAGCGCGAAGCCGGGCGCCCGGTCGCGAGAAACCGCTGCTGCTGCCGCCCGCCTGGCCCCGCAGCCCCAGGCGGTCCATGGGGCAGGCGCGGCAACCTTGCGGGCGCGGGCAGCCCCGGGGGGCGGCCGCTTAGGCACTGCGCTCTTGTCCCCGCAGATCGCAGCCAGGGCGGCCCGGCGCGCCCTGCCCCGCCCCCGGAGCGCCCGCCACGGTCCCCGCCTCCATGGATGCTTTCAAGGAGGGCATGAGCCTGGAGCGGCTCCGGCCGCCGCAGCCACGCAGCCACCGGCGCATGACATGGGGCCCGCCTTCCACTTAGCCCGCGCCGCGGACCCCCGGGAGCCGCTCGAGAACTCCGCCAGCGAGTCGTCCGACACGGAGCTGCCAGGTAAGCTCGGCTCCCCGCGGGGCGCACGCGGAGCCTGCCCCGCGCACAGAGCCGGGAGCAGGGCCCGGCCTCCGCGCCTCGCGTCGGGACCGGTCCTTTTCCCCATTCTCCATTTGACCGTGAACGCGGAAATTTACACGCTTTAGGGAGCGGACATTTAGTGCCCTCCGGGGGCATCTCCACGCGGCCCCCACGCGCCCTGAGGCCGGCAGATGCACGGACCTACCCCCGGAGGGGCGGACAGCCCCTCTTGATGAGGAGCGAATAGAACGGGGGAAATTAGGTTTTCGCAACTGGGGTGCCATGGGGCCGCTCAACCAAATGAAAGGAGCAGATCGAGAAGGTGGTGAGTGAGAGAAAAGTATCCAGAGAGACAGCGAAGGGGACAGACACACCGACAGTGGGTGACAGATTGAGGAGATACCAAAGAGGGGGGGGGCGGCAATAAAAGTCAGAAAAGCAAACTGGGGTCGAGGTGGAGACAACCTCAAGGAAAGGAAAACAGACGGAGGACAGCGAGGGAGAGCGGTCCAAGGGATGCGGCCCGACTCCAGGCAAGACCCCCCTCAACTTGGGATCCCGGCCCCACGCGCGCCACGGGAGCCGGAGCCGCTTGGCCGCCCGGCCAGGGCTTGACTCTGCTCGGGCCACGTCTCCCTCCGCGCTGCCGGACTCTCCTAACTCAAGCCTTTCTTCCCGGGCCCAGGCGGGCCGCGCGAGCCGAGCCGTGGCCCGACCTCCCCGTCCGCGATCAGCTACCACACTCGCCATCCGAACACGGCGGGCGGCGTTGGCGAGCTCCCCACTCCCCGGCCAGGGGGGTCCTCCTCTGCGTTCATTTTTTAATCCACCGCCGAGTGTTTCTCTACGTGTTTTTAATCTCTATTTATTTCTGTTTCGCATCCCTAAGTGACTTTCTGAGAGGTTCTGTTTGCTTGGTTAAAAAAAAAAAAAGTCAACGCTGGACTGTACTTTTGTTTTCAAAAGTTTTAAGCATGGCCTTTGCTTGGTTTTTATTTTTAAAACCCAGAGAAATATGTCGTTATAGGTTGCTTTTTTAAAACCAAATCTGTGAGCATAAAATTAAATTTTAACTGTATTTTTCGATACAGAAAGAAGTACTACAGTAGGTATATTTCTCTGGAATTTAGAATACCTACATGCAACATTATTCTTTGGGAGATTTTTAAAAGTCGATCCAAAATGGCGCGTTTCTCGGGTAGTTTTTCAAAATCCATTTACAGGAGTGTTGCTTGGGGAATTTAAGTTATCTGACTATAGTGTTGTATTTCCCTGGGATTTAAAAATTACCTCAGAAGGACATTACTGAGCGGGGGTTAAAAAGCTATCTACAACAGCACATTGATTTGTAAACCCCAGAGGAGTAAGTGCCTGTGCCTCCTGGAGTTTGTACACGCACAGCACTGCATTCAGTTAGGGGTGTGTTTGTGGCTTCTTACTTTACATCTGCTCTGTGTTCCTACCTGACTATTTTTAAGAGTTTCTGACCCTTTCTATGCTTGCAGGCTTAGAGCTGTGAACTTTTTTAGGCTTCTGTGTTTTGCTTCTAAGTTCTTTTTTTATGTTTCAGTGTTTCTAGGACTGCGTGTGTTTTGTAGCTACAAGGGAGAGAGGCTAGAGCTCCAGGTCACCTAGACAGTCTGCCAGTCTGGGCTGCCCAGGCTGCGGCTGGGCCTCCGGACGTGAGGCCTGGAGCTGAGGCCGAGAACAGGACTGTGTCTGCCTGCCCCGAGGGGCTCCCAGGCAGCCCTGGGGAGAAGAAAGTGGAGGGCTGCAGGCCATACCACCTAGTTCATGCTCCACTGACCAGCTAGCTTCAGGCTAGAAAAATTAGATCCTAGCTCAGAAAAGCAGAGACCTCCCTTCAATTTAGACTGACTCTTAAAAGTCAATTGCCGCTGACATTAGCAGCTGGGCTCAAGCCTAAAGCAAGCGGGGAGAGCAGGCCCTGCCCTGCCAGGAGCCTAGGCCCGCGGCTCGGCTCCTCTCCTCCAGGCACCCAGACCAGAGGTGCCTACCGACGACCAGGCAGGACGGGCTCCCCCCAAATGGGGACGAGATCAGGGTCCCTGGCGGGAGGGAGGGCCGCCAGCGCCGATGGCGGGTTCTTCGGTGGAGCCGGGACGGGTACAAAAGGGCATAAGCCCAGGGTGACGGGCGTCCCGTCCTGCCTGCTTCAGAGAAGGAGCGCGGCGGGGAGCCCAAGGGGCCTGAGGACAGCGGTGCTGGCGGCGCGGGCTGCGGAGGCGCGGAGGACCCCGCCAAGAAAAAGAAGCAGCGGCGGCAGCGCACGCACTTCACCAGCCAGCAGCTGCAGGAGCTGGAGGCCACGTTCCAGAGGAACCGCTACCCCGACATGAGCATGCGGGAGGAGATCGCCGTGTGGACCAACCTCACGGAGCCGCGCGTGAGGGTGAGTCGGGGCGCACGCAGGCGGCCGGCGGCGCGGCCTCTGCCGCAGCCCTCGGAAGCTTAGACTCGCGCCCAGACTTTCACTTTCCCACCACTCGGACCTGCTCCCTCTCTCCACCGTAGCAGATTCCACCCTAAGCCCAGTCTGCCCAGTGGCCGCCAAGCCCTTTGGCCGCTAGCACCCTCGGCGGTCCGGTCGGTCCTTCAATCCCTCTGACCCGCATCCTACCTGACCCTCGGGCTCTACTGCAGCCCAGTCCAAAGACCTGTGGCCCCAGGAAGCGTTCCCCGCCCCGGAGGGCCCAGGGCCCACTCAGATGGGACCACCCGAGACAGCGCAGAGGGTTCCCCGCCGCTGGGGACCTCAGAGTGGCCGGCGCCTGCCTCCCCCGGAAAACGAAAGGGAAAGGCGGGTCACCCCTTCCTGGAAGCCTGCGAGAGGCCCGAAGGGTGCCTAAGCTCCGGGTCTCAAAAATGTCTGGGATAGTGGTCCCATTCTTACCGGCTTCTCCAAAATCTCTGGAATTCTCCACCTGACTCCTCCCAGCTATTCAACCAGTCAGTAGCTGGGCCCTTGCCCTAATTCCCTTTCCTGTAGGGCTGGGGTCAGGGGGGTTGGGCGGGGGAGGGGGGGGCAGCTCTGGTGGATGCGTGACCATCAGGTCGAGTCCCTTTGGAGATATAAGATTTCTGACCAAGACCAGACTGCACCCTACTTCTCACCGTTTTGTTCCCAGTAAAAGCAAGGCTTTCCTGCCAGCGCAGCAAGAGAATCATTTCTTCTTTGGTGCACAAATATTTAATCATATTGGGAGCACGTCCCTAGCCAGACCAAAGTCCCACCTGGACTCCTGCTAGAACCCCAGCTCCCACTCCTCCCTCGCCAGGACGCCAGCCCGTGGGACGGGAGTGAAGACAGCACTCAGTAATCCTGAGCTCACTAATCCTGCCCAGGGTTTATGGTGGGCTGTGGGGTGGAATCAGGCCATGTCAGTGCGGGAGCCTAGAGAAGGCTGAGAGACAGGGCTAGCAAGTAGCTGGGGAAACTCAGCTCAGGGCTGCAGGACGGCTGGGGAGGGCAGAGGGAAGATAGGTGAGGATCCGCAAGGACCAGGAGTGGGGGAAGAAGAGGAGGTTCTTAACTAAATTCTGTGAGAGAAAGCGGAGAGGAGGTTAGAGAAACTAGTATGAAGTGAAAGGAAATTAAACATTTGCAGAGAAACATATCTGGCAAACTTAGGCGGCAGAGAAGAAATTAAATATTTAAGGGAGAAGCAAGAGAATCAAGTATTTGAGAAAATAATCAACTATTAAGAGAAACAGTGAAGGTCAGATATTTGGAAAGAAGGAAAAAATAAATATTTGGAGGAATCAAAATGGGGGACAACAAAGAAAATGGACTATTTGAAAGAGAAGAAAGTGGTTCAGATAGTGTGGACCAAATGAAAATAAACATTTGGGACAGAAATGAGAATATCAAATATTGCCCAAAAAGATGGAAACAAACTGAGGAATGAAAAACAGAGTGAAGAATGGGGGGGGAGGAGGAATATTCTAAGTTTCAGGGGGAAAATACTTTTTGTATTCAAGGGAGAAGAAAAACGACAGGCTATCTAGGAGACAGATAGGGACCCATTTGGGGAAGAAAGCAGAAGATAGCCTGGTTGAGAAAGGAAGAAAAAAAGGAATATTTGTTAAAACAGAAGATCTGTATATTAGAAGGAGAAAACGCATTTAATTTGGGAAAGAGGATAAAGATGAGAAAAAGGAAAAGACTAGTTTTTCCTGGGGACAGGAAAGCAACCATTATGGAGAAAAGGCAGAAAATATCGAAGAAAAGCGATATTCGGAGAGAAAGAGGCGAAGCGAGGGCTAGGAAGGAGGGGGTGGTCCCGCCCTCGGCCGCCCTGACCCTGTCCTGCCCCCTTCCCCCAGGTCTGGTTCAAGAATCGGCGAGCCAAGTGGCGGAAGCGCGAGCGTAACCAGCAGCTGGACCTGTGCAAGGGCGGCTACGTGCCGCAGTTCAGCGGCTTGGTGCAGCCCTACGTGGACGTGTATGCTGCCGGCTACTCCTATAACAACTGGGCTGCCGGCTACTCCTATAACGGCTACTCCTATAACTGGCGGCTACTCCATAACAACTGGGCGCCGCTCTCCACCAAGAGCTTCACCTTCTTCAACTCCATGAGCCCGCTGTCGTCGCAGTGCATGTTCTCGGCACCCAGCTCCATCTCCTCCATGACCATGCCGTTGAGCATGGGCCCCGGCCCCGTGCCTGGCAGGCCGAACTCGGGTCTCAACAACATCAACAACCTCACTGGCTCCTGGCTTAACTAGGCCATGTCCCCGGGCGCCTGTCCTTACGGCACACCCGCCTCGCCCTACAGTGTCTACCGTGACACGTGCAGCTGGAGCCTAGCCAGCCTGCGGCTCAAGTCCAAGTAGCACTCCTCATTCCGCTACTGTGGCCTGCAGGGCCCGGCCTCCGGCCTCAACGCCTGCCAGTACAACAGCTGACCGCCCGGCCGGCCACGAGGGCCGCGCGGTGCGGGGGGCGGAGGACGCACGCGGGGCCTCGCTCTGCGCGCCCGCCGTGTGCCCGCGCGGCCCCTCCTCCCCCGCCCCCCTCCGGGTTGGTTTTGTGTTTGCTTTTCCGGACCCCACTCTGCCCTCCAAAACCAGACAAAACAAAAAGACGTCGGAGCGAAGTGCCGCGAAAAAACGGATGAGTTGCAATTTCCCTCGGGATGGCGCAGGTGGCGTCTGTGCGCTTTCTCGGGCCTCGGCAGGTGGCCAGGCCCAGTGACACCAAGAGGATGCCCTTGTTGCCCATGTTCCCGCCGCCCTGACCCGGACTGTGCCCGCGCCTGTGAACTGGACGCGCTGGAGCCTGGCCTAGGCCCCTACGAACAAAGACGCCCCCTCCGAGCTGGGCCCGGCCGAGCGAACCTCAGCTAGATCCGCATCCGAGTTGGAGTGAGCATTGGGCTGGAAATGAAGGTGTCTAGCCCAGGACCAAGGACTCGCTGAGGAGCTGCATGTGGCCCTGGCGCGCCCCCAGGAGCCCTCGCTTGCCTGGCGCCTGGGAAAACTATTTAAAGGCTACGGAGCCGCAGATGCGGCGAGAGGATGGGGTGAGCTCGTCTCTGAGCACCCCAGCTTCCCCGCAGGCCCAGGTCCTCTGCTCCTCTCCAGGCTAGAAGTTGGCCCCCTGGTCCAGGCTCAGAGCTGCGGTGCAAGAAGAGTGGAGCCAAGCTGGGGAGCTCCGGCCATGGCCACGGCCTCTCGCTGAGCCCACTTTGCACACCCAGCTCTCCTGCCCACGCCCCTGTTTACAGTGTCCTTGTGTATGTCGACTGACTGTATAGAATTATAAATCTGTCTATATCGACTTGTCCATGTATGTCTATTAAAACCATAGTACGAGCGTGCTAACCACTGCGGAGCCCTGACTGCTTCATTCGGCTGAGGAGGGAGGTGGGTAGAAAGGGAACTTCGCCACCAAGGGCCCTGAGGGTAGGAAGGAAGAGCAGAGGCAGACCCCGCCAGGGCCCATTCCCCCACTTCCCCACCACCATTCCCGAGCTTTCTGCCGGCTCCCGTGAGGGCGCTGCCGGGCATTCTCGGCTCCCAATCTCTGCTTCGGGCGCTCACCGTCTGGGCTGCTCAGCCTAGAAGTTGCATGCGTGGGCAGCCCTAACCCGGGCCTCCTCCCAGCCCCCCTCAACACCCCGGCGCCAGACTGCAGGCTCTCAGGGTTTGCGCGATCCTTGTCTGCCCAGGGCGTTGGGATGGGACCGCTGAGCGCCTCTTTAGGACTAGGGCTGCCTTTCCTCCTGTGGGCCCGGTATCCCCACCTTGGAGCCCTGCCCTAGCCATTCCAGGAGGGTGCTGGATCTACCAGGGTCTAGCCAGGGCTCCCCCCTCTTTTCTCCCCGCCCCCCAATCCCACCCAGGGGCATGTGGCTTGCCGGGGAAAGCGTCCATCTCACAGAGCTCACTTCTCACATCCCTTCCATCCCAACTTGTTGGAGGCTCCGGGCTGCCTCCACCTTTCCCCACTTTTGGAAACTGCTGAACAAGACCAGCCTGTAAACTGCCTGTGAAGTTCTGCTTTCCTTAAGCGAGTCGCTTCTAATGGCGATACAAAATGTTTGTAGCTGCAGCCGGGAGGAAGGAAGGGCTGGTAATTCTGCTTTAGAATCACCTTGAGACAGGGATTGGCACTGCCCTGGAGCTGGACCCAGGCAAGCCCTAGCTGGGAATGGGGCACATCCATGGGCTTAGTCATGAGCTAATAACTGGAGAGCCCTGTGCACACATTCTCAAACCAGGTCAACACTGTGTTGTCCCTATTATACAGATGATGGAATGGAGGCTCCACCACATGATGTAATTGGGCCAAGGTCACACAGAGACAATAGTCTTTAGATTCCAAAGCCAGGCATCTTTGCACTGGTCTTCTCACCTTCAGATGAGGTGTGAGGAAGGGTCCTTCCTAGAAGATGGCCCAGCCTGATGCTGTAGGATTTGGAGTGTGGGGTTCTAAAAGGGACAGGGCCAGATACACAGACTGAAGGAGGGAGATGGGGGGAGGGAAGGCTGGGGCAGGGGGTGGAGCCAGACCACCCCTCCCCCAACGGCTCCAGTCCAGAGCTCTGACCCCTTACTGGCTGGAAACATAAACACAATCACATCTGGACTCAGAGTGCCTTCCCCAGCCTCACACATCTGCCAAGGCCAAGGGACCCTGGTTACAGTTGAAGGCAGAAGGCAAAGGAGACCTAGAAGGAGGTGTGACTGGAGGGAAGTGGGAAGCAGGAAACCTTCTTCTGGAAGTCAGGCACAGCTCCAGGTAAGAGAGGGGCCAAAGAGGGGCTCTGGTGGAGACTCAGAGTGTCTGTGGGGCCACAAGGCAAACAACTGCTGATGGCTGGAAGGGTAGAAGCAGCCACAATAACCCCACCATTCGTCAAGGACCATGGCCAACATGATGAGTATAAGACCCAGCCTTAGGCTCCACCAGCTATCCTGACCTAGCTGTTATGTGGCTGGTACAGCAGATAGTATCCAGCCCTTTCTAGCTGCACCAGCTGCAAGATCATCTCTGGAGGAGGGGTTGAGGTATATATAGCGCTCTGAAAACCAGATCCTCTGAGAAAAGGCGGAAAGTCCTGCTCCTGCTCTGGCTGAAGAAGACCAGGGAGGGGGTGTCATTCATTCAGCCAACATTTACTGTTTCTGCCCTTGGTGCTAACGGTTGAGCAGTGGAAAACAGACACAGTCCCTGCTCTCAGGGACAAGTAAACAAACGTGTATAATTACAAACTGGCCTGAGTGCTTTTGAAGAAGAAATGCTATAAGAAAAAATGAGTCCTGCTTTAAACAGGGCGATCAGGGAAGGCTGTTCTAGGGAGGAAGTTCCGTCTTCAGTAGCAAATGCTATCATTTATTGAGCCCATTTGGGGCCCAGGGTCCTGTGCTAAGTGTACACTCCTCATCGATGAGCCCCTATACCTGCACAACAATCCTATAAAGAAGGGTTTTCATTATCCCCTTTCCCTGATGAGGCCCCAAGGCTTAACCAAGTCAGGTCACTGGCCCAAGTTAACACAGCTGGAAGTAATGAAGTGGATTCAAACCTGGGCAATGCCCATTCTCTGCACTGGGCTGCCCCATGCCAAGCACATGGGCAACAGGGGCTGGGGCGGGGCAGGGCGTGGGGGTTATGGCCTTGAAGAGATCACAATTTCAGCTGGCAACACGAGACTAACTCCTGGAAATAGAAGAGCAGATTTGTTTTTACCTGTTCCTGACAAAGTGACTCCCAAAGTGCTGCTGCAGGTTTAGGGGGGACAGGAATTAGGGCAAGAGGCTGGTACCCAGCACTATCTGCAGGCACTGTGGGACACCAGAGGAAAATGGGATTAGCCACTGTGTGCAACCTCCAAGAGCCTGGCCATTGAGGAGAGGTACTGAGTTACCTCCCCTAGATTTATGGCCCCAGCATCCAAGTGGAAGTCACAGCTAGAAGATCTGCCGTGGAGGGGGCATTGCCCAGGGAGTCCAGGCCCTGGAGGGGGCTCTGTGATGCCCTTCAGCTCCCCCTGAGATAGGCAGCAGGGCCTCAGTCATCTAAAGGGCCAGTCTGGGAAATGAGAATCAGGGTGGTTTCATGGCCCTTGACCTCCCCATTTCCTGGGCCAGTCACTTGGCTCTGCTATCCCCAGGAACCTCTTAAGAGCAAGGGTTTGAGTTCTGGATCCACCTCTGAGTTGCCTTGGGCAAGAGACTTAATTAAGGTCTCTGAGCCTCTGTTTCCTCTTCCATAAAAGGGAATAACAACAGTCACTTCACACAGTTGTTTAAAGGATTAAAGAGATAATGTACATAGTGTTAATTGGGGTGCTGGTATTGTAAGTGCTCAATAAGTGGTTATTATTGATGGCGGTATTGTTGTTATTAAATATTATTTGGGGTCCAACTTTTCTGGGAGTCATGAATGTGAGTCATAATTGACAGTCCTGCTGACTTCCCCACCCCACCTTCCTTCCATCCCACTCCTGGAACCATCCTAGACTTGGACTCAGTAACCCAGCCTGGGAGACCCAGAGGAATGGTGCCCAGTCCCTGCTGTGCGCTGGGTCTGGGGACAGGCAGGTCAGCAGTCAGTACTCTGTAAGGGCTCCCTGCAACGCGGGAGGAAGATGCTTGCACACTTCTTTTTGTGTTAATCATTTCATCAATAGCTAACATCAGGCCTTTACCAAGCGAGCCCCAAGCCTCATACAAGCACTTTATAAGAATTACAGCCTTTCCTCCTCACAGGAGGGAGGGGATTATTCCTCTTACTCTGGGAAAAAGGGAGGCCCAGAGAGCACAGCTAATTTGGAGAGTCTCTCTTCCTCCGTGCTGCCTAGGAGGTGGCAGCCATCTCTTACTCAGTGCCCTTGTGAAACCCAAGATCATCAAAGCAAAACCATGGTGAGACACACTGAACAGCCATTAGGATGGCTGCCCTCAGGCCCTTGTGAAGCCCAAAATCATCAAAAAGAGGACCAAGAAGTTCATCCGGCACCAGTCATACCGACATGTCAATTAGCCCTAGCTGGTGGAAACCCAGAGGCATGGACCACAGTGCACAGAAGATTCAAGGACCAGATCTTGATGCCCAGCGTTGGTTATGAGAGCAACAAGAACACACAGCGCATGCTGCCCCGTGGCTTTCAGAAGTTCCTACTCCACAGCATCCAGGAGCTTGAAGTGCTGCTGATGTGGAACAAATCTCACTGTGCTGAGACTGCTCGCAGCATCTCCTCAAAGAACCGCAAAGCCACTGTGGAGAGCAGCCCAGCTGGCCATCAGTCACCAACCCCAATGCCAGGCTGCGCAGTGAAGAAAATGAGTACACGGATTGTGTGCACATTGTGTTCGTGTTAATAAAGCCATAAAATCCTGCCACCTGGAAAAATAAAATAAATAAAAAATGTGGGAGTCAGAGCCTGACCATGCTCCCATCCACTGTACTACCCACCCTCCTAAAGAGAATCATATTAGTACTGGGTGGTGGGACTGGGGGAGGGGGGGATGAACAATTATAATTCATGTCAAGAGGTTGGGCACAGCTGGGCTCTGGGAGAGAACAAAAAGGCACCAGGCCTTGAGACTTACCTTCACGGAGCTCACTCCACTGGCTGTGAGAGAGCAGCAGGGGGCATGGGTGACAACAGGGACTGAGGAAGTCCTGAGGGGTGGGGAGCAGAATGGGAGGGGAGCATGAAGGGCCCCCATCTCATTCGCTGTGACAAGTTTCTCATTTCCTAGATGGGTACTTCCCGTCTGCCTCCCTTTGGAAGCCCCCACAGGCTTCCTCCTGCCCTTGCCAGCCTGCCTCTTGCCCCTCTCACCAGGGGAACCCAAGTTTCACAAACCTGTGTTGACTTTGCAGGGCCCTGAGCCGGTCTCCCAGTTGGCTGGTGTTGTCCAGAGCAGGTGTTGCCCACTATCAAGTGGCTGCAGGGCACCCAGCACAATCGCCAGAGGCCAGCCAGGTTGGAGGGGCTGCGATCCTGTGAATGGGACGCTGCAGAGGAGCAGGTCAGGGCTCAGGAAGCTGCACTTGGAGTGGGGTGGGCCCAGGGCAAATGGCCGCAGGGAGGAGGAAGCTGCTCGGGCTGTCCCAGTCAAGTGGCCGCACATCTCACTCTGCACCATCCCCTGTTGTGCACTGTACCTGTTTAATTTCTCTTATGAGCCTCATTTTATAGATGAGGAAGCTAAGGCTCAGGAACGTCAAGCAACCTGCCCAAAGGCATCTTTAGGGACTCGGATCAAGCCCATTTGCCCGCAGA